CATTTAATGAGGAAAGCGGTTCATTACAGTAGCTAAAAATTAATTACAATCTAATTCTGCTGAAGAAGTTATATAAAGAAACTATAATTTATTCCTTTAACAGATTTTTCTATAGCAACAAAAAATTAACTAGAACTGTATGTATCAATATGACTAGATCTCAGAAATGTTGAATGGAAAAACCATATAAAAACAAAAAATAAAAGTACTATCACAGATACATACAAGTAGTAAAGGAATTTAATGAAATATTGTTTAGCAATTACTTTATGTACCAACATGACTAAATGTCAACAATGTGGAATGGGAAAACTACATGAAAACTAAAAGAACAAACAAGCAATAAAAAGGATTGTTACCAATACAGTAAAGTGATAAACACGTAGAACCGGTATACAACAAATTCCAAATTAGGGTCCTCACTACCTCTGGGAAAGGGAATAAAGAAGCTGGATTTTAGCTTTACTTATAATGTAATGTTTGACATCTCTTTTTAAAAACCTCTTAGAAATGTGGTAGTATTTTTACATTCTTTAGAGGGGGTACATGGTACCTGCTATATTTTGTAATCAAAATATTTCATAATTTACAACAAAATTATTTTTCATAGCCTTACTTCCAATGAGGATACACACATTCATTCCTAAAAAATTTAAGTGACTATACATGACCTTTTTACATAGTCCCCCAGCAGGACAAAATACAACCTAATGTCAATAATAAAAGAGGACAAATCTGACCACAGTGAGGTTAGAAATGAGTTAATACCTAATCGTGGCATAATAATTAAGACCAAGGGCCAGATGCAGTGGCTCATGCCTGTAATCCCAGCATTTGGGAGGCCAAGGCAAAAGGATTACTTGAAGCCAGGCGTTCAAGACCAGTGTGAACAAATAAGCAAAGGGAAGGAAGAAGGGAAGGAGGGGAGGGGAGGGAAGAAAAAAGACCAAGAACAGCAATGGTATTTTAATTTTTGTATGGGCCAAACATAAGCCATTCAAATCAACCATTGTGATTAACTATTATCAATTATTTCTCTTCTTTTAGAAACAAGGTATTTCACAGTTCCCTACTCTTGCTGAAACTGGTATAAGACAAAAAAGACACTTTTTAAGTACAGCTGTCTGCTTCAATGTTGGCTTC